ATGTAGTTATGAATATATTAAACCTCAAACCTTGGTATGAAGACAGTATTTGTATTATTATTATTTATCTTTAATTAAAGTTCAGAATTCAGAGCAGCAAAGGAATTTCTCTGGAATAATAGTGATCCGGGTTTTCTGTGCCGTGCTCTTTTACTTGTGAATTCCAGGCAGAGTACGGCACTCCTTTCATTTCATATTTAATAAAATAAGTAGGGCTATTTACAAATTTAACACTTCATTTATGTCACCTATTCTCCTCAAATTTCCCTAATATTGCTTCTGTCGAGCGCATCCGTGGTAATCACAATAAAAAAATATTTTTAACACAACGTAGGTCTCATTATTTTATTTAAATTGTTTATTATACAGTTGATTGTTATACTACAATAAAGAATTTAAAATTAATTATAAACATATTGTTAGTACAGTTTTTATAGCTTTTACCAAACTAAGTTTTTTACGAACGTAAATTTATCTGCTTAATTTTTTTGGCAAAAATCCCCTTTATTAATTTTCTTCAAACTTTCAATAAATAAAATTTTTGCACCTTCGCCATTTTGTCAAGTAAACAGTGAATTGTATAATTTCAAAATCACAAAATATCGAACTTGTAACTTTGAATTATGTGTGAAAAATGTAAAAATCAAAAATATTTCTAATTTTGACATTTTTTACTTTTTTCCTGTCACTTTCTTCCGCCAACTTGTATTATAACTAAGCTTTGTACACCGGATGCGTCTCAAAGTGGCTCACCCCTATAACTTCTTTATTTTTTCCGAAAAAAAATTAGATTTGGTATGTACGAAAATGACATAAATTAGGATTGATTGAATTATTCAATTGTTTTTGGTCACTTCCTGTTTCACTGGAAATTACTAGAACTTTTGATTTTTAAATAGCACCCTCGGTATTTTTTTACTTTATTCAATAGAAAATAACACTCTGAATAGAATGACATATCAGATGTTAAATTTTGACATTTTCGCATATGCTTTATTTGAAATTGTAACATACGGTTCATAATGACAGTTTGATTCGAAATATCAAAGTGTGTGGTACCAAATTATTCGTAAAAAATGCTTTTTTCAAATATGCTAATGAGCCACCCTCGTTTCATTTGAAAAAAATTGAGATATGGTTAAAAATACGATTTGAGCATCTTTTAACCGGCCAGGACAAGACACGAAAAACATGAGATATGATCAAATCTATTTTTCCAACGTTCCTTGATGAAAAATTAATGCTTTTAATACAGCCTCTAATACAGTTTCTAATACAGCCTTTAATGGCACTCTAGATTGAAATTTAAAATACGATTTTTTTTAAACGACAATCAGTCATTCTGTTCAGAATGTCATTTTCTATCAAATGTGTGTAAAGAAATCTGTTTTTCTGAAATTTGTATCAAGTAAAGAAATATCGAGGGTGCCATTTAAAAATCAAAAGTTGTAACTTTTGCGGCGAAACAAGAAGTGACGAAAAAAAAGTTATAGGGGTGAGCCACTTCTGAGACACACCCGGTATAAACCTATTGTAAACGAGGCTATAACATTGGCATAACATTAGCAAAGCAAAGGGTGTTTAGGGGGAATTATGAATTCCATATTATGATCCATATTGGTATTAATATTAAAAAACATATTTTTTAACTTGGCAACTAATTTTTGTTTAAAAATTCCAATTTTGATGGCTTTGGCGAGCATGTTTGACGAGTCGCCATAATGACAGAAGTTACATGTAAAGACAACAATGGAGTAGATATAGGGAGGGTATAGAGTACAGGAGGGACTACCCCCAGCGACTCGGATATAGAATTCGTGAGGTGTGAGGTCAAAAATGTTAAAACATGAAATATAAACATGTTTATGTTAAGGTATTTACTTTTGAAGTTCCATTACATTTTGTATGTTAATTAAGCAATATATGAAAGAAAGTGAAATAGAAAGAAAGTGTTTACGCTTACGATAAAGACTATAGAAATTAAGATAATAATTAAAACTAATTTTAAATAAATGTCAAATTAAATTGTAAAAGCTTGAAAAAATTCTATATAAATAGCCTGTCTAAAATCGAATAAAATCATTTCAAAAGAAAATGACTATCACGCTATTGTAGAATGTACGTTTTGAGAGAAAATGGAAAATATAAATATTTTTGGTACAAATATGAAACCAGTAAACCTCATAATGCTGTTACTGTTGCATGATCTATAGCTATAAATTTTTATTTTTCATATATTTTAATTGTAAACTATCTAAGAAATCTAATTATCACACTCTCCAATAGTATAATTAGCATTAACAAATTGATTTTCTAAAAAATGTAATTATTAACTCGTGATTTCATTCAAATACGTCGCATATTTTCCACGCACCAATAAATGCATAAATTTTAGCCATACCAATTTTTTTTATATTTCTCAAACTTTGTATTTCTTATTCTGTAATATTTCCTATATAATTATTCGATTATGGCGAATTCTAAGTATGAAATATATTCAATTTATGAAAAAATAATTTATTTTGATTTCATTAAAAATATACAAGGTGTCCCAGAAATAAGTGCAAGTATTTTAACTGTCCAAAAAATCCTTTATGGGTATTTCGCCACTGCACTGCAAGAAAATCTACAAAATAAAATAGTTATTTTTTGTAAACACTTCTGGCGTTTAACGGACACTGCTTGTCAGAAGTTATGTTTACAGTTATACATATTTGCCTAACAAAGAAAAAAATGCTTAACGTTTCGGAAAGTTTATCTCTTTTTGTCGTCGGAAGCAAAAAAAAATACAACGAATAAAGAAAAAAAAACTATTTAAAATATTTAAATTCAACTATTCGAGAACACTTCACATTTTTAAAACAGATACGTCTACAAGAAACCGTTGACGTTCTGTTAAAATGACATTTTATCAAGTTAAACTTCAAAATTAACAATTACTACCTGATAACAATTACTTAATAAGGTAAAACCAAAAAGCCCCAAACTTTCTGTATGATTATTTTTAAATTTTACGTATGTTATGTTTATTTATGTTATGTTCTTTAAAATCAAAGAAGCGATTGCCATACATTACTAACATCTACAAATGCATGAGCAATACATTTATTTTTATTAGATTGAATTAAAAAAGCCTCTTTTATTTTTCTTTTATAGGCTATCGCTTCTTTCATTATAATTTTGGCGTTATTAAAATTTATTCTGTGTCCTGTGTCCCATGAATGCTGACAAATCTTAGCTTTGTAAAATAAATAGGTAGTAGTATAGTTCAACCCCAGAAATACGCATATTTTTTTTTCGCAAAAAAAATGAAAATTCGGATTTTTTTTAGTTAAAAAACATATTGTCTTGATAATATGGCAACATAGGTAGTAGATTAAATTTACCAGAAAGAAAATCCAGAAAAGATCCAGTGATTCTCAAAATTTAAACAAAAAATAATTTATTTTTTTTGGAGAATTTCAAAGTAAAATAACTCTAGTAGTTATTTTGGATTTATTTGAAAAACGATAAAGAGAAAATATGTTTTTTTTTATCGAGATCTACCACCCCTTTAAATACTTGCACTTATTTCTGGGACACCCTGTATATCGTGAACTTGCGTATATGCCATTTTTAAAAATTAGAAATTAGAAATGGTATAATATAAAATAATGGCACTCTCAACTCTCAGTTTTCCAACCATTGTTTTTACAACTAGGTATATTATATTCCGTAAAACAATAAACATATCTGGGTTATTTATATATGCTTAGTGTGAATAATATTTGTTTACGCTCACACAGATCGTTAATTTCTAATTATTCATGTAATTTATACACAAGAACTATTATTAAAAGCAGAAAATTACACGTTTATTTTTTTCTTTTCATCAAATAATGTTATATTGTATTTTCAATATTATAGTCTACCTTATTATTCTTTATTTATCTTTATTCTAGTAAATCATAAATTATGCAAATACAATTTAACTCAAACTCATGGTAATAAAGTAAGTAAAGTAAATTAAGATCGAAAAAAACGTCAAAGACGGCAAGGAAGGACCATCGATTATAATTTTGGCTATAGGTTAAGCCCTAGTCGTCATTTACTTGGCCCGTACTCTTCTTTATTTCATAATAGCACTTATTCGATAGAAAATTTCACTCTGAATCGAATGACATATCATTTGTCAACTTTTGACATATTCGCTCAAAAACAAATTGTATTTTAAATTTCAATCTAGAGTGCCATGGCTGTGTTAAAAACACTAATTTAATAGAATTGATCGTCTAATGTATTTAGTGTCTTGTCCTGGCCGGTTAAAAGATGCTCAAATCGTATTTTTATTCATACTATGTAAACATGTAAACACTGACCCAAAGCACAACCTAAAGGTTCGCTTGCCAGCAAGGTATACTTAGTTCAGTTACTTCTAGAATAGACTCTTTGTAGTTTTTGTTAATGTAAAAAAATTAAGAAATTTTAAATAGAATGTTAGATATTCTGTTTAAAAAAAAAAGTCTTTTTCAGAAGCTTTGTAACTCAAATTTGCTTAAATGAATATTTTTGGTTTCGCAGACTCAGATTTGGGTCGTCCTTGCTATAAGAGTACTAAGAAAACTATTTTAAACAACTTCACAGTTTTTTTTTATACGAATGATATAAGGCATAATAGCGGAAAACGGAAAATACTAAAAAAAAACAATATAGCACGTATTTGGACTTTCCCCTATTTTTAACATATTATGTCAGTGATTTTACGCGATAAGTGTATTTCAGTGCCATACGTGATTTTTTTCTCTAGAAAACAGTTTATCATAAAATATTACACTTTGTCTATACTAATTAGCTTTTATAAGCTGATCTTGAATATTTTGCGACGTTCACTTTTTTCAAATAACCGTGTTTTTTTTCTTCTATGAAACAATACCAAATTCCCTAGTAATATTTACAAATTTTATTATATTTGTATAGTAAAGTGCTATAAAATTAAAAAAAATAATGTGTTTTGACTCATTCTTAATACCCATATTGTTACTTCAAGTTATATATGTATCTGTGTCTTCCTAATAGACAATACCAGTTTTTGATTCACGGGATTTTTAATCAATTAATTGATATTATCATAAAGTAAACAATTAGTGGTTACAAGAAAAAGATAAATGTTTTTTCCGTTATACACTAAAATAAATATCATAGTATTTTGTTCGCCCTGTAAATATGCTTGTTGGTTTTAATCGAAATACATTGTTTTCTATTTAAAGCTTATAGTATTATCGCAACTAAACTACTTAAAAGACTCTAGTACTAATTAATGTGAGTGAAAATAATACAAAATATCTTGATACTAACAGGTAAGTCCGTTATTTTAGTCTTTCTTTTTACCATCTATAAATATTTAAATTAAAACGAGTTTTTAATGTCTTCTCTACTTACTATACTATCATTTTATAAAACGCGTTTCAGAATTGAATGAAAAATATACACTTATAGCATTGGGTTATTAATATACATCTAGAATTATTCGGTCTTCAATGTTTTCAGTTGTAATGAATCCAATTGGTTTAATAATTGCTCTGTTTGTCAGCAATACCGTGAGTGATCAAGTGTTGCCTTTTAAAATTAAGTTTGAATGGTCTCAGATAGAGTACGAGTTCAATAGTGAAGAAGAAAGAAGTGAAGCAATAAGTAATGGTACTTTTGATATAGGGAATATACAACCCATAGACGCTGAATATTATTACGACAGTAAGTTTTAATTTATAATAATTTCACGTCAAAATTTTATTTTTAACAACCGTACGTTACAAACCAGTAAAATATTTGACAATACCAGTTGTTACCTTCTATTTTAATTTGACAGTAAATATATTTTTCTGTCAAAAATTAGGTTTAGTCTGTCGAAAATGCTTTTTCTCTCACTGAACAGACTTTTACACATTAAATGAATATTTTTCACTTGCAACTTATCTTTTGCAATATTATACTATATGATATAAAAAAATATATGATCAAAAAAATCATAATCATGCATATTTATAAGATCTGCACATACATAGCTAAACGAGTAGCTAAATGTTATATTACCGAAATATTTTTATTGCACTATTTTGTTTTCAATTTTCCCTATAGATTTAATGACACAATAAGTATGTATTTTAATAAACTGTGTCAATATTATACTTCAAATTGTTTAGTGAAAATAAGTAAATAAATAATAAAATGGGGGGAAAGGGTAATATTTGTTTATTTTTTTTTATGAAATCGTTAACTTCGTTCCAACGCAACTGAGAACCGATTGATATTTAAAGACATTGGCCATTTCTCTTTTAATTTTGACAGTTAATTTATCTGTGGATTTGAAGACATTTTGAGCCTCAAGTATTATTTGCTGTTTATCGTGTGTTTACTTTAAATATTTCTCGATTTTTGAACTATGACGAGTGACGAAGGGGACAGTGATATCGAGTCTGTGTTGAATACCAGGGAAAATGACTTGAACGAAAGATTAAAACCTACAAATATAAATAAATGTCCCTCCCATTTTATTAATTTTCGTGTAGTTATATACAACGTTCTATCTATATACGTTATATATTACGTTCAAGAACATAAATTCAATACGATCGAAAAAAAAATCGGCGTCCAGTTGGCTTGGTAATGACGATCGATGACATGCCCCATATAATTGTACATATAAAATGACAGCGATCGCTGCTTCTGCTTCTTTTTTTCGATCGTATTGTACTTACTTCTAATATATTACTCATTTTGAGTCCCTTAAATAATATGAATCGTATAAAAATCTATCTAAATAATAATAATAACAAAAAAATAAGGTTGTGAATTGGATTCAAGTGTAAGGCCACAGCTAAAATCGGTTCAGAAACCGTTCCAACCGCATTTAATTTTGGTAGCGTAACAGAACTGTCAAAGTCGATACATGCACACAAATTCGATTCAAACGATACCAATAACCGTTCTAGAACTGTTCAAATTTCTGCGTTGGAACGAAGCTGTTATTATTTCTAAACTTAATCAGACTATCTTATTAGCTCTCTAAAATATTTACTAAAATAAATTGCGGTTTCCGAGTAGTGGAATTTAAATATTACTTTATTTGTTTATATTATACTTAATTTGATAACAAGTAATTTTATTTTAGGAATTAAACAGAAAGAGCGTGTTTTTATAACAATTCCCAGATTTCCTACGCAAGGCGTAGCATCAACCCTAAATACTGTGACAAAGAAAACTATAAATGGTAATCCAGTTTTGCGACCGTATCCATCTTGGTCCTGGCAGATCAGTCCAGAAAAATGTAATTATGAGAGAATAGTGTCTGTATTTAGAGTTTGGGTAAGAAAAAAAAATTAGAATTTATTATACTGACGCACACATAAATCAAGTATTTTTTTCAGTCTGTGTTATCTTGAATATCATAATAGTTTCATTCCTTTCATAGACACAGATCCAGTAGACGTACTTTACTTGATATAAGTAAAAGCTAAATTTGCTACATTTTTTTTCAAATTTTAGTTAAATATTAGACTATCTACCTTCTGAAAAATTAGCATCTACGGAATTTGTTCCTTACACCAGACAGCAAAACTCCCTTTATCGTTAATTTTTGTTACTTATAAATATAGATGTATTAAAAAAATACGTCAAAAAAAATTCACATGGATTTATAAAGAATGTAGAATGTAAAATGTAGAATGAGTGGGAGGGGGGAGAGGGTTAATGACTGCGACCTTAAAGAGAGATCTATTGTGTTCCCCTTCCTTGAGTTATAACTCATCATACAGTCTATAACTCATCACGCGTGAAAAATTTTCTGTTGTAGGGGGGACAGTGTATTTCCCATCATTCTCTGCTAACAGATGTTCTTCCTCCGAGGATATACACCCTTCCACGGTTGGGGTTTGGCCCTCCGTGCTCCTCACAGTCGAGGAGCTTGTCTCCGGCTAGGTAATAACCGTGAGGTGGAGGCTGGAGGATCTGTCTCCATTTTCTCCACCTCTTTAACTTGGTCTCTCTTTAGACCTGATACCGGTGTTGTCTCGAATCTATAATAGAGGATATATCCCTCTTTCTCTATTGCTTTCTTATGGATTCATTAATACATCTCCATTTTTCTTAAATATTTAAATCTTCTTTATGTGCCCTGCCCGGTTCTCCGAACGTTGACGATCACTGCAGAGAGCGCAACTCTATCTTCTGCCAGTCTGAAAAGCTCACCAGCCCCAGACACTCCCGTCCACTGTCTGATATTCCTCAGCCATGACATCTGCCTTCTGCCGACTCCTCGTTTGCCCTCTATTTTTCCTTTTAGAATAAGTTGTAAGAGATGATACTTTTCTCCCCGCAACACATGTCCTAGGTAGGAAATCTGCGACATTTTATCGTTGTTAGCAGCTGTCGTTCTGTTCTTGCTCGCCGAAGGACTTCTTCGTTGGTCAGCATATCGGTCCAGGAGACTCGCAGCATTCTTCGATGAATCCACATCTCCAATGCCTCCAGTCTATTAAGCATGACAGCTTTCAAAGTCCAGCTCTCAACTCCATAGAGAAGGACGGACCAAACGTAACACCTGACCATACGTTGTCGCAGTTTGAGATTTAGGTCTTTGTTGCAGAATAGGGATCTCATCCTTTTAAACGTTGTTCTTGCTATTTCAATACGGGATTTGATTTCAATGTCGGGTTCCAGGCTCTCCGTGATTATGCTGCCCAGATACTTAAACTGATTTACTCGTTCAATCGCGGAACCGTTGAGGCTGAGTTGTGCATTTACATGTCGTTCTCTGCTGAACACCATAAATTTCGTCTTGCTGGTGTTTATGTTTAGTCCCAGATCTACTCCAGTTGAGCTTATTTTATCAATCAGATGTTGGAGCCCCTCCATACTATCGCAGATAATCAGAGTGTCATCTGCATATCTAATTGTATTCAAGAGAACACCGTTAACTTTTATTCCATGTTCGGTGCCCTCCAAGGCCTCTTTAAATATTTTATCCGAATATAGGTTGAATAAGAGGGGCGAGAGGACACAACCCTGGCGAACTCCTCTCTGGATTTCTAAGCTAGAAGTTTTTATTGATCCAGTACGAACCTCAGCTGTTTGACCCCAATAGAGGTTTTCAATCAATCTGATATCTTTGCTGTCTAGTTGGATTTGTCGCAGTATTTCCATTAGCTTTGAGTGGCGCACCCTGTCGAAGGCTTTTTCATAATCAATAAAGCATGCGAAGACATCTTTCCGTTGGTCGCGACATTTTTGAAGTAGGACATTGGCTCCAAAAAGGGCCTCTCGTGTTCCAAACGCATTTCTGAATCCCATCTGGGCGTCGTCCATATCGAATTCGCACTTCCGTCGTATCCTGGCATGAATAATACGTAGAAAGGTCTTCAGTAGGTGGCTCATGAGGCTAATTAGTCGATAGTCGCCGCATTTTTTAGGACGAGTTTTTTTAGGGATTGTCACAAATGTTGAGTTTAGCCAGTCTTTTGGTATCACTCCGGTGTTATATATTGTGTTAAATAAGTTTGTGATTAGTCCTATGTTGTTCCCCTCAATAAGCTTTAAGACCTCTATTGGAATCCCGTCGGGACCAGGAGCCCTTCTGGTCTGCGCCGTTGAAATAGCATGGATCACCTCCGCCTGGAGTATTTCTGGTCCGTCAACAATATCCTGGGCGTCGGGCAGGGGTGGTCTCTCGTCCCTGAAAAGATCATCTATATATTGCTCCCAGGTGGCTTTTACTTCATCTTCCTTAATGATAGGCTGATCTAATCCATCAAAAAGTGACAAGGAATGTTGTTTCCTGTTGATTCCAGCTATCTCTTTAATTTTTTTGTGCATTTGGTGGGTGTTGTGTCTGCTTTCAAGATCTTCCATTTCTCTGCATTTATCCCTCATCCAGCGTTCTTTTGCCTTCTTAATTTCTGCTTTTATGGTCCTGTTCATTTGGTTATATTCCTCCTTGTTATTCTTAACCAATCTTCGTCTCTCCATCAGGTTCAATATGTCATCAGTCATCCACCTGCTCTTCTTGAGTCTTTTGGCTGGTTGTAAGTTTTTGGAACATACCCCGGTAAGAATACACTTTAGCTCCTCCCAAAGGGGTTGCACTTGTGGGCAATTTTTGTGTGCCACTTTGGCCAATTCGCTGTTGAGTTCTTGTCGCAAGTGCTCTCTTACTCGTGGATCCTCTAATTTTGACATATCTAACAGGTTGTCTTTTGGATTACTTTTAGTAACCTTTAACTTTAACTTGAGGTTCGCCACCAACGGGACATGATCGGATTCCGCGTCAGATCCTGGGTAGGTTGTGACACTTTTTATACAGTTTCTAAAGCGTTTATTGATGAGAATATAATCGATTTGGTTTCTTACAGGTTCTTGAGTGTCACTTTCAGCGGGTGATATCCATGTGTAAAGACGCCTTTTAGGAAGTTTAAACCAAGTGTTCGTAATGACCATGTCTTTCTCTTGACAAAACTCAAACAGTCTATCTCCCCTGTAGTTACCTTCTCCCAGTCCAAATCTCCCCACTAGATCCAGTCGGTGCCCCTGACCAATTTTAGCATTAAAATCACCGATTATCAGATTAATATCATCACCACCAAGCCCTCCAAGGGTTTTCTCGAGCATGTCGTATAGTTGTTCGACGTCATCATCGTATCGTCTATCTGCTGTCGGTGCATATATCTGTATCACATTCAGTTTAAACGGTTGACCGCACAGCTGAAGCAGCATCATTCTGTCAGAGATTGGTGTATAACTTATAACACAGCTATCGTAGGCCTTCGAAACAAATATGCCCACCCCATTTCGGTGATAGCGGTCCTGTGGGTCACTTCCAGAGTAGTAGAGGGTGCCATGTTCGTTCTGGCATTTTCCTGAGTTTGGCCAGCGTACCTCACTAACTCCAAGTATGTCAATTCGTAATCTCTGAGCCTCCTTAATGACATTGTCAAACCGTCCAGCAACGTAGAGGCTCCTCACATTCCATGTGGCAATACGGAGTTCTGACTTTACTATGTTGAGCCGGGAGATTCTTCGCACCCCCTGCCCACTTAAGGGCTGCCCGGGACTAGGGGCCGTGTTGCTTTGGTTTCTCTCCATAGTAATGTCCTGGGAAATAATAGTGCGGTAGTTTTCCGTTGCTTTCCGCACCGCAGTGTTGTGACCGTTCCGTTGCTTCAACTCCGCTCACAAGTATTCAGCTTTAAGCCTTGCCGATATCCTTTATCTTTAGCCTTAGCCTGATACTGATGCTGCTGCTGCACAACACCAGGTGCTTTTGAGTTAGCCCTAAAAGCATGGGTTGCCACTTACGCCAGGTCCGCCGTACCGAAGTTCTTCCTCTCCGCCTTCCCTGCCGGTGTGGTCTTCACCCGTACCCCTGGGCAAGGGGATTGCGTTATACCCCGCAATACTAGGTCCCCAGCAGAACTTAGCCACCGACTCCGAAGAGCCGGGCCCACCCCCGCGACGTGGACGCGCCTGCTGAGAATTACCTATGTGGATTCAGAGAAGGGGTGTCTGGTTTCCCATAGGCCGGGTTAATGTGCATGTATGATACCACGCACAAAGGCAATACAAACAAATATTTAAATATAACTTGTTAATTCCCTCCTGCCAACTTCTCAGTCTATCCATTTTTATGAGGTTTTCAGTTGATGAATAGTTTTGATTCCTATTGCTGCCATTCTTTGAACATGTCCTTACCATATGAGTTGTCTATTCTTTATCTCGTCCACTATTAATAATGTCTTTCATAATCTCCCTTATTCGTTCATTTAGTATTCGTTTGAGTCTTGATATGTCACCAGCTCTTCTCCAAAAATACATCTTATAGATTCTAGTTAATTCTACTAATTTATAGGTAAAGGTATCATCATCATCATTTTCAGCTTATTCAACCATTTCCAAAGATGGTGTAGCCTCTCTTACATATTTAGATACTGTCTTTGTAGCCGGGCCTATTGTTGTCTATTGTTGGCTACATGCGGGCCCAAGTTATTCCTGCTAATTTCCTAATATCATAGTTCCATCTCAGGTTTGGTCTCCCTCTAGATCTCTTAATTCCTCGTGGGTACCATGCTGTAATTTTTGTGGTTTTCCATCTGTTGTCCATCCTTGCTGCCAAGTGTCCTGCCCATTGCCATTTGAGGGATTTGATTCTGTGGATGACATCTATTACCTGATTCTTTTGTCGTATCCACTCTATTCTTTTACGGTCTTTCTTGGCTATTCCCAGGATATTTCATTCCATTGAGCGTTGTGCGACTTGCAGTTTCCTTATAATTGGCAATTATGACTATGGCATAAGCGAATTTCAGATGGTTAAGATATTCTCCATCTATTTTAATCCTTAGTTGGTCTAGTCCAGTTGACAGAAGATTTCTTCTGGTGTTGCTGTAAACAGCTTTGGGGATAGCGCGTCTCCCTGTCGCACTCCTTTGCCGGTTGGGAACTCTGCAGTTGCTTTATATATCATTACTCTTGCTTCGGCTTCTTTGTATATATTGACGAGAGTTTCTATATAAGGCCTGTCGGTACCTTGTTTCGCTAGGGCTTCTATTATTGCCTTAAGATATATTGAGTCAAAAGCCTTCTCAAAATATATGGTATAGGTGTAAAGATATACGTAAAGCTTAGTTTTGGCAAAGGAATTTTTCGAAAGTCAAATTCCAACGAGATGAAACTACCCCTCAAATATTACCAAGTTATATAATAATATCGTCATATTGTTTTTTCTCATGCTGACATACATAAATGTGAGAAAATTTTATCCAGTTTGTAACGTTTTTAGTGTAACGTTTTTAGTTCGTTACATGTCTTTTTTATATATAATATATGATGTCTGGCCTATCATCACCGGATTCCCTCTCGTTCAGGCCGGATAGTTTATTTGACGCGTAATTTTTACGTTCCCTAGTCGCCAACCCTGTTATCGTTCGACACAACCCTGTTAATATTCTGCGGAGGCGCGCGCTGTCAACATCGCTTCTGTCAACTCTCTGTGATTTAACGGCACTTTTGGTATGACCGTTTGGCCTGTCAGACGCCATTAGTCCTAGTTATTTAGAAATGTTGATTATTTAAATCTTGCTGTATAATTTGAATCAGCTGCTATTTCGAGGTTACAGGTAAAGATGAGTTATTACCTTTTATAGATTCGATATTATTATTGAATATTTTTAGGGTCGAGTTACGGATGTCCCAACTTGTATTTGTATTTTGCTGGCACGTTGGCGTCCCTTTTCTTTTGTCCTCCAGAATGTCACATGGAAGAAAGGACAGGTTGTTTATTATTTATTGAGCCCTCGGAAGTATTTTGAGGTAGGTTTATTTTGTTTATTAGACCTTGTTTGGTTTTAAACAAGAGTTTCATATTTTTAGGGTCCAAGGTACGGACTGTGTCCAAGGTACGGACTGTGTCCAAGGTACGTGTAGTGTCTTATGTACGGACATTATCTTATGTACGGATGTCCTGTGGACGAGTGTCCCCAGTAAGAACGATTTTTTCTTACATATAAGTGCCACAGCGTGGATGTGGCTTGAGTCCCATGCTGCTTCGTTTCCAGCTGTAAGCTAGTTAGTTACGGCTGTACCAATTCATGGTGCCCGCATTCTGGCCCCTTTGGTTGTGTTGGATGGCTGAGTACAGAGATGCGAGACCACCTCACGCTGTTACTGTTTAAAGCAGGATTGCATAAAGAACAGCTAAGTGTAAATTTAAGTTATAGTTTTACATTTAACATCTTAAAACATTTACATGTCTTAAACAATAACGTTGATCTTAAATAATATCGTACAGACTATGTTTAGTGGTTAGTTGTTAAGAACATTCATGTCGATTTAATATTTAATATAAAAATTAATATTAAATATAATTTAGATCTTAGGTTTCATTGCATTACATCTTGTAATGGTTATAATTTCGAGATATTATTATCGCCCCACGTTAACAGAGCCAAAACCAAACATAGATTTTTTTAGAACTACCACTGCGAACGGCGGCTTTTCATCGGAGAGCAGTCGTGGATAAGGTATTTCTAAAGAAACTAATTAACAATAATAACTCGAAATTATAAATATTGGGCGCCAGGCATGTACAGAGAAGGTTCTCTTAAACTTTACATGTCTTGTATATCGTAGTTGTTTGTCATTGATATTTAGATACGACTCGTACTACCACTTTCTTTGACATATAACCACTATATATTTATTAGAACTCTACAATGTCATGTACCATCTAAGAACATCATGAATAAATATAGTCATTAGTTTAAGTAATTTACAACTGTATTTCTTTCTCTGTACATGCCTGGGGCCCAATATTTATAATTTCGAGTTATTATTGTTAGCGCCCCATTGGGCTGTTAAATTATGTGATAGCGTTTTCTTTAAAGTACTACCACTGCAAACGGCGGCTTTTTCATCGAAACCTAAGATCGTGGATTAGGTATTTCTAAAGAAACTTTAATTAAATAATAAATCGAAATGAATAAATTAACAACCAACCACTAAACATAGTTATGTACTAATATTATTTAAGATGTACGACAATTGTTTAAGACTGTAAATGTTGAAAATGTTAAATGTAAACTATAACTTAAACGCAATTATAACGATATATTCCATATGATTAAATCGAAATGTTGAACCAGTCGCATCTATGTACTCAGCCATCCAAATGCGATACAATATCTCAAAGGCCGACCAGAATGAGGACAATCAATGAATTTATATCTAGCCATAAATTTAAACTGTAGCTTATAGCTGGGAAATCGAAGCAGCATGGGACTCTTTACAACCACGTTGTGGCACTTATATGTAAGAAAAATCGTTTAAGACTGACAATGTCCACAGGAAATCCGTTAAATAAGATACTAAATCTACGCTTACTTAAGACACTATTGTACGGCGACACAGTCCGTACCTGGACACAGTCCGTACCTGGACCCTAAAATATGAAACTCTTTGTTTAAAACCAAACAAGGTCTAATAAAAGCAGCAAAACCTACCTCGAAATACTTCCTGAGGGCTCAATAAATAATAAACAACATGTCCTTTCTTCCATGTGACATTCTGGAGGACAAAGGAAAAAGGGACGCCAACGTGCCAGCAAACAGGTAATTTAAACCTACGTGCCAGCAAAACACAAATACAAGTTGGGACATCCGTAACTCTACCCTAAAAATATTCAATAATAATATCGAATCTATAAAAGGTAATAACTCATCTTTACCTGTAGCCTCGAAATAGCAGCTGATTCAAATTATACAGCAAGATTTAAATAATCACCATTTCTAAAAAACTGGGACTAATGGCGTCTGACAGGCCAAACGGTCAAACTAAAAGTGCCGTTAAAGGTGCCGTTAAATCACAGAGAGTTGACAGAAGCGATGTTGACAGCGCGCGCCTCCACAGAACTATTAACAGGGTTGTGTCGAACGATAACAGGGTTGGCGACTAGGGAACGTAAAAATTACGCGTCAAATAAACTATCCGGCCTGAACGAGAGGGAATCCAGTGATGATAGGCCCAGACATCATATATTATATATAAAAAAGACATGTAACGAACTAAAAACGTTACTGTATGTTAATGGAAATTCTTGCTTTGCTTTATCATCACCATTACAAATGATTAATTCGACGCGAACGAAGTCGCTGGTACACGCTAGTTTTGCATATAAAATGGCAGCGATCTTTACTGTAAAATAGATTGATTTTTACTGACAAATTTTAGTAAATGTTAGTTTCACTAGCGACTCCAATTACTAGTAAAAGTCGACAAATTTATTTAAAATACGACATTCACTGATCCAGTAGGTAATGGTTGGCATTTCCCTGAGACATAATATATCGAGTTATTATAAAATGTAGTGTTAAATAATAAACGTTAAATTTTAGATTGACGAATGTAAAAGATTATGGGTCTTAGACACCGGTGTTGTAGGTGATAGTCAAGTATGTCCCCCTCAAATTCTAGCTTTCGACCTAAGCACGGTAACAACACAAAAGGAAAGAGTAATCCTAAAATGTGCTAGATAGTTAAATTTTAGGACAAATTGATTATAAAGTACGAAATACCACTTGGATCGGTACAACCGACATATGTAACTCCAATCGTAGAAGTGGAGCGACATCATAATCGCAAATTTTGCCAGGATAGTTGGGTTTATGCCGCTGATGTTTCAGGAAGTTTGTTGGTTTATAGTTTGAGGCAGAATAAATCTTGGAGTTTCAGAGATAAAAGTTTTGACGCTAACCCAGCTTACGCAGTCTATAACGTTTCAGGTAAAACAGTTTTGTTATAATAATTTGTGTTTAGTATAAACATATTGTAAACATGTTTTTAATTATTGCCCTTAATGACAAAAACTATTAGTCAATTGTTTTAGAATAATTCAACTTGCCTTTTGGATTAATTTCCAGATTTACATACTCTGAATTGCAATTATAGTAGTAGAACCATTGAAGTCAGATATTATTTTATGGATATTTGCGATGGTATCCATTAAAGCAGCGTTTCTTAACCTGTTACGTTCTTAACCTGCTTACACGGACCCCTGGGGGTCCGTGAGTATGTGTATGGGGATCCGCCGTCTTATTTATGAACATTGAAATTGAACATTCGAAATGATCAACAATTTTCGCGGTTTGAGGTTATCTTTTCTGGAATATTTTTGAGAACCCGACGGAAATAAAAACTGGAAAGCAGACCCTTTCAACGCAGATGTTGATATCAACGGTTTGACAATGGTCCATAATTGTAAAGAAACTTTTTTATCAAATATTTGGTTGAATTTAAAAAAAGTTTATGAAGAAATATCAGAGGAAGCACTGAAACGTTTACTTGTTTTCTCATCCACATACCTCTGTGAAAAGACATTCTCTACTCTTGTATACAGGGTGGTCCGAACTGTATTCCGGAAACTTCGGCAGCATATTCTGCAGATAAAAATAAGTAAAAAAGTTTGCATAAATGTATGTTCTAAAATGGTTAGTTTCGGAGATACAGAGTGTAGAAGCTTCAGATTTTTTCCAAATAATTTCTGAAGTAACGTCAAAATTTGGATAAAAATTGGTATCTGGGAGTTTTTTGACACGAGAAATTTGATTTTGATGTCAATATGACTCCTGTTTGTAGGGGGCGCCACCTACATGTGTTTTAACTGTTTTAAGAGTAATAACTTTTCGTCCGTACCTGTATAAATGTACTGAGTGAAAAAATATTCATTTTCGTGACTTTTTACGTAAAAATTGTCTCTTGATAAAAATAGCTACGAGTAACCGTTCTCAAGATATTTAGAACGGAAATAGTCAATACATGTAATTATTGACAAAAAAATAAACACGTTGGGGAGATTTGACTGAAATAATAAATTCGGGAAATTTTTATTTTTTTAAATTAAACATAATTTTTTCTGCGAAGAAATGACGATAAAACAGTTTCTGTCGAACTTTTGACACAAAAACATTTCAAATTTATGATTTTAGTCTGATAACTATTTAGTCAACATGTTTAATTTATGTCAATGATGACAGGTATTGATAATTTCGATTCCAAATATCTTGAGAACCATTACTCGTAGCGATTTTTCCGAAGAGACCTTTTTTACGTCAAAAATGTCGTAAATGTATATTTTTTACTCCGTAGCTTTATACAGGTACGGACGAAAAGTTATTACTTTTTAAACCAGTTAAAAAATATGTATGGTGGCTCCCTCTACATGTAGGAGTCATACTGACATCAAAATCAAATTTATCACGTCAAAAAACCCCAGACACCAATTTTCATCTAAATATTTACGTTACTTCATAAAATATTTGGAAAAAAATGAAATTTCTACACCCTGTATCTCCGAAATTAAGCATTTTAGGACATACATTTATACGAACATTTTTACTTATTTTTATCTGCAGAATATGCTGCCAAGTTTCCAGAATACATTTCGGACCACCCTGTATATAAAAAACAAATACAGAAACAGATTACAATAATTGAATTCCGATTTGGGATTACAACTAAAAACATCAATCCGAATATTACTAATTTAGTTGCAAGAAAGCAGCACTAACCTTCACATTAATACAGTATTTTTAATTTTTATAGAAATGTAATTTTTCTGCAGTAAAATAATTTGTCTTAAAATTCCTGTGTTTTTTTAAATTAGGGGTGTCCTTGAAATTGTGCTTGATTTTTTAGCGGTCCGCGAATTGAAAACGGTTAAGAAACGCTGCATTAAAGGATAACCATAAAATTAGGATTCTAAAATAAACTCAGTGACTTTATTGTCTATACTACAGTCCTTTTAGGATAATGTCAAACATTTATCTTATTGAAAAAAAATATAAATAATAAATTAATTAAATTTGAACATCCTGTACAAATATAGACAAAGAAAATTGGAAAACAATTTGTTTATAAATATTAATGCATATACCCGCAAATAAAATATTATCGTTTCCTAGGAAATTCATAAATTAATATTTCAGGTAAAACCATAAAATTAAGTACTTATAAACAAAAAACAATAATTAAAGCGATAGGCTGCATACAATAAAATTAACACCTTTCTTTGAAACCTTACTGAGAAATGTTATTGTTTCCTTAAATTTATACAGGGATACCAAATATTGCTGATCTATTTTAAATATTTATTTTGCATAAAAACTTCATTATTTTAAATGCAACACCCTGTATTTTTTTTAAATAAACCGAAGCAGATTTAAATTCCATTTCATATTATATTAGGGTTTCCTATACTTATCTAGCTCAGATTTTGAACAAACAGCGGTTTTTGATCGAAAAATAATTTCGATTTTGAAAAGAGCTATTAACTGTCACTAGAAACTTGCCATGACGACACCTGCCTTCTTGGTTGCTTTTTTTATTGAAAAAATGCTCTTTATTCAAAATCTCAGCTTGATGGGTATAGGAAACCTTAATATAGTTTGAAAGAGCATTTGAATCTGCTTCGATTTGTTTTAAAAAATACAAGGTGTTAGGTTAGGTATTTTAAACAACGAAGTTTTTATGTAAAATAAATATTTAAAATAGGTTAGCAATTTTTGATACCCCTGTATACATTAAACGAAGCAATCAAATTTTTCAGTAAAGTTTATTACTCTGGCTTAAAAGTCAGCACAAGAATTAATGTACGAAAGAAATGTACAGGGTGTTGACAATTTTTTAATTATAGCGTGCATATTTAAATATCTTTAAACATCTCAAAAACCAAACTTGTAAACATATTTAAACCTTATAATAAATGCCTTATTTTGTGTTCAAGGATACAAATATGAAATCAAATACCGGGTGTTCCCTAAGAAAAAAATTATCTTTGGTGTGGATCTTAGTTCTGACATACCCTGTACATTTCAAAATAATTTTAAGTTGTGCACATTGCACCCATAATACCTCCCACATACACCCATAAAATATTTTGTTTCTACATCTTCCCGTTTTCGTATAATCAACCAAAGCGAATGAGATGCGCCACCCTGTATAAAATATGTAACATAGTATATGTGGTATAAGTACAATCAAAGGTATACTAAGAGCTGGCGAAGGTTAGTCTGGGGTCGAGATTTACGTATGTAAGAAGAGTACAATGCGTTTATAATGTACTGAACAAAGACAGAACAGTAAACACGTTGCCAAACGCATGAAACCGAGAAACTACGCACAAATCGATATCTCGATATCTATTAGAAATAATTGATTGTAGTTTTTTTCAAAAACTTTCTCAATATTTCTGCTATATTTTCTTCGCAGGCAGTATGTGAAAATCTTTATAAATAAAAAAGTTACACGATTGCTAAAAAATTGATATGCACTAAAAGTAAATGGATGGGTTGTGTAAAATTTTTGAATGGAAAAAAAGAACCTTATCGAATTTTTCTTATTTAAACATATTGTTAAAAGTCCGATCTTCAAAATAAAAAAAAGTTTCAATATCTAAAGTGGTTCTTAAGTTATCGCGTGTTACGTGTTAAAAAGTTTTTAAATTATTGCGATTACTGACGTTTTCTCGTTATAAAAAAATGAACAACCCAACTAGTGTGACCAACGGATCTGTAGCTACGGGGTATCGGCAGGGGGACGCAGTTGTAAACAAAACACGCCCAATTTCATTCATAAAATAGGCATGGGCGTACGGTGTTATATGAAAATAATGTGTATCATAAATATAATACTCAGATTAATAGTTTTTTCAAAAAACTTTATGCTGTTTGAATCGTTACTGTTGAGTTAGCAGATAAACACTAAAAGCTTTTATTAAAGCTCCCTTAAATATTTTGAATCATTTTTTTATTGTGTTGTTAATATAATAGAAGAAATAATTACAGCTGGGGGTTGGAACCTTTGGTGTTACACAGCAAAATAAAACACTAAATCAGTACAATACACCAAAACACTTTTAATTTTACACTGGACCCACGTTTCGCTAACCATGTCTGCCGTCAGCAGATGATCAAGGCTGAGTCTTGAGGTATATTTATTTATATATCTGTACTAACTATATTTTTTTCTATAATACATAATTTTAGATATAACTATTTCCAGCAAAAAAAATCTTGAAAATAGTTAACTTTGGAAGCGCAAACAAAACATAATTTTACTCACCAGTAGATCCAATATTGCCTATTACACCAGATATGGTATCGCTCCGCCAGCAGTTTTTAAAGGTTAGGTCATTGTCTACCCATATGTTTCATCCAAATAGATAATACTTGGCTATATTCTCGAATTTCGCTTACTTATATATTTATATCTCTCCCTGCAATATAATGGGCCGCTCCATTAATATTTATCTGTTATTTTGACATTTACGCCAAAAAAAATAATTTGATTTTAATAACCCCCTAAGCGTTTCCCTGCAAAAGAAAAATTCGATTCTTCCTGCAATTTTTGCAAAAGCTTTCTAATTGTGGGGACGAGTTTGAATTCGAGATAAAATCTATTTATCAAATTCCTGACAACTTCGAAAAAGTCGTCGAGCTTTTCGACAGCAGTCTCACGTGGTCGTTTCTTTCCAAAGCTGGATATCATTTTATCGGGGTTAGTTTTCAGCCTTTTTTTATATTCTGTGTGAATTTTTTTTATAGCCGATACGCTAACTCCGGTATAAAGAAATATCCGCTCAAGTTTACGTTTAAGCGGCAACTTAAGCGAACTCTCTGTAGCGTCTTCATCGCAAACCCTATAATGAACACAAGGAAATAAACCAAATGAGATTTCATCCACGTTATTATTAACTTACCTATATAAATTAGCTATTATTTCTCTTGTCTGACTATGTAGTGTCTTACCCTTAACAAATTTATTCATTTTAAAACACAAATATACGATCAAACTTGATATTAATAATTAAAAACTACGAACGAAAAACATTATAACAAGATAACAAAACAATAAAACACAACTTAACTATCAAATATACGAAAAATATATAGGAATAAAGTTTAGGATAACCGGTATAAAATAATGAAATAAAGTAATAATGATCAAAAAAATGACACCGCCACTGGATATTTCAATAGTATTCAATATTCCAACTCTTTTCAGAAGAGATCGTGAAGTTGGGGATAAAGCAAGCAAATAGGAAAGGCGTAAAAGCCATGGCAACCGCGTGGTAACAAATCCTGTGACGTACTCTCGCCAATCATGTTCGATGAATATGCGGCCATGCGCGGCGATGCCGGTTTACCAATGATATCATTGAAAAATCTTCAACTTTCATAATAAGCAGATTATACAGAATGAAAGAAATAAGTTATTAAATAAAACATATCAAACAATATGAACTACGTTAAAATTCCTTAGTAATATACGTCAGAATATATGCTAAACACATTATATATAATAAAAATATATTAAATTTATAGTTCATGTCTGGCAATTTTGCAATTTTATAGATAAACGTGGCAATATCGATTTTTTTCTCGCATTCCTTCCGTAGTCAAATACTGATCCGCTGGTCAAACAGTATATCCTTGTAATTCCATTTCAGATGCTCAAAAACGTATCTAATGATTTTATCTAGTTATCTTTTTGAAAAAAAAATGTCTTTTAAAAATAAGCGGTTTGCGATCGTGATTTTACTTCACTTGATAGGGAAAGGCGTACCGGCAATGCCGCAACAGCACACCGTCGCATTTCTCTCACTCCAATTTAATAAGATCCCTATGCGATTTACTTCCACACATGTAAATACTGACCCAAAAGTAACAGTTGCCAGCACGGTATAGCTTAGACAAAAATGCATTGCAAAATATTTTATTTGTTTTGGGTTTCAAATCAAAGTTTCTCAATTGTTGTTTACTTTACTCTTTACTATACCATTAAGAACTTTACACTTTACTCGGACACAAATTTCTTTAAACAACAAAAACTCTCAGGGTATATTCCTTAACAGGGTTAAAAACATCAAATAAAATAAAAAGCAAAACATTATAACATTAATAATATATGGTTATAGTTTCAAAGAGTAGAAAAAGTGGAATGAACAGGAATATCCAAAAAATCTAGGAATAATTTTGAATTAGTGTCAACCAATGCATTTCACTTACAGCGTCTCTTAAGGATTACTAGAGCGAAGTAAATCAGTTGTTTTACTATGTAGAATATAAAAATAAGGCCTATATCATTTCTGCTTTTTTAACCGCATTTTTCTAATATTTCAGGAGATTCATTTGAATTTGCCGATGGAATATTTGCCCTGGCTTTGACTCCATATCCGGCACATAAAAAGTTGTTTTTCCACGCATTAGCAGGAGTATCAGAAAGTTGGGTGCACACAAGAGATCTCAAAGTCCCTGTGAACCGATCAGATATATATCATGTAACTATTTTATTTTATTTTCTTTTTTATATTTACTAAGCACTAAGAACTGATAATTTTTACTGTTGCTTCCGAAAAACTGAATCCTCACAAATACACATTCCGGGTATTGCAGTAGTTCTTGCAAAACAATTACTAAAATTACTAATTGGGAACTTCATTAGTACGATTCTTCATAACACGCATATGTTTGCCGTGAATTATTATAAAAGAAACAAAAATAAAAACGAATTTTTTAACGAGCAACTTACGAACATTGAAAGTTAAATAAAATAAAAACGTTTAACACTCAAATGAATTACTTGATATCTGAATTTCATCTAAACGTATACCGCATGTTTTTCAAAACTGGCTCACCTCTAGGTATAACTTTTTTATTTTCTCAGATAAAAAACGAGATTTGACATTTTTAATTAGTATTTTAAATTTCAGTCTTCACAGAGTACCATGACAAAAATAACAATAACAATTAATCGAACTCGAAATACCGAGTGTGTAGTGCCAATTTATTTGTAAGAAAAATCTTCTTCCTAAACCACCCTCGTTCCATTTGAAAAAATTGAGTTATAATTAAAAATACGATTTCGGCATCACAAACGGTCAGGAAAAAACACGATAAACATTAGATGATAAACAAATATATTCTTCAAAGACTCCTTGGTTAAAAATTAGTGGTTTTAACATGGCCATTACAGAATGCCATTTTTTATCAAATAAAGTAAAAAAAACCGAGGATGCTATTTAAAAATAAAAAGTTGTAGTCATTTCTGACGGATCAGAAAGTGACGAAAACTAAATGAATACGTCAATCAATCCCTATAAATACTAACATACCAAATGTCATTTTTTATCTGAAAACACTTTTGAAAAACACATCCTATATCTTTCCTCTTCACGATATTGATAATATGTAAAGATTTATGTAAAACAATAAAATCCCAATCATATTAGACCCTTTCATACAGCTCTATAATTATCAATTAACGTAATATATGAATAAGTAATTATTTAACGTCAAATATATTCACTTTATGAAAATCAATAAATCTGAAGTCAATTAAATAGTTGTAAGGTGTAAGAAAATTATACCTATTAAGTTTGCTGCAATATACTGGTTCAAAATTATTTTTATCTTTGTTAGATTGTAGTAGTGGGATATAGTAATAAATTTTATCTTTAAGCGAAGCTAAATGAAAATTAACTATAATCACATACAACTAAAGATTTGTGCAGTAGTGAAAAATAGTATTAGTTTATTTTTCTGAACATTGACGATTTAGATGACAGAGATTGTATATTCCTAAATGTTCAATTTGAATTATTCAAAGTAATTTCCAAATATTTCCAAATTTCTTATGTCAATCTTTTTTTCGGTATTTTAATATCGACGATATACCGGAATACCATAATACCAGATGTATTAATATCTAATAATTAAGATATTAATAACAGTGAAGAAGAAACGATGATTCAGTGAAGTCATGGTAGGCTTTGGAAAAAAGTTGCTTTTGACGTAATAGTATAAACGTCAAATTGTTATTAGATCAACATTTTGTTAGTCTCAGCAGCGTTTTTTTTTATCTTCTGATTGTTTTTTCAAAATGCCAACAAATTCAAACGACTTCAAACAGGGCCGTGCCTGGCGAACGTGCAGTGCGTGCACGCACATAGGCGCAACATTTTGGGGGCGCAAAATCGAAGTGTCAATCAGTACTTTGTAACAAAAATCCGATAGGCTTTCTTGTTAATAAACAAATACTTAAACATACATCATAGGATAAAGTTTGCTTAGCGTCTTTTTTGCGTTGGCCGCACCGAATAAACAAGTCTAGGGCAATCTGCCGGCAACACATTGATCTCATCTATTTATTTTTCATTTTATTCATTTTATGGAAAGCACTGTTCATTAAAGTGTTGTATCCTATGTTATAGGGCTTGTTTCTCTCTACAGTTTCCTGTCTCACAATATACCGTTTGTGTCGGGGAAGGGATCATAGTTTCATAGTTGTCGATTTTCGAAAGAAATCAGTACATGTATATTATTTCCGATTTTTAGTTTATTGTTTTTATGTATTTCATATAAAATGGGTCAGTTTTTTTCTTTAGGGTACTATTTTTGTTACTAAATATTTTTGTGGTTTTGTTTGTTTTCTTTATTTAATAAATGTTTTTATACTTTAATTAGAATAGTTTTTTTTTACATTTCCAATTACATATTGCTCGTTTGTCGCAGAATATAAATTCTTTAAATTTTTGAGATTAAGATTAAAATATATAATTGATTTAAATATAAAAAGGGCCCACCAAAGAATGCTGCACGTAGGCGCCAGATACCCCAAGAACGGACCTGACTTCAAATAATAAAGGCATTTTGAAAAAAACAATTAAAAAATAACAAACGCTGCTAAGACTATCAAAATGTTGATCTAATAACAATTTGACGTTTATACTATTATGTCAAAAGCAACTCTTTTCCAAAGCCTACCATGACTTCACTGAGGCATCGTTTCTTGTTCACTCTTATTATTATATAGATATCAATGCATCTGGTATTATGGTATCCTGGTATATCGTCGATTTTAAAATAAACTAACTGTTTCTATCTTATTATTTGTTCGAATGGGCATAATCAAGAGAGCTACTGATACCGTGTTGTAAAAATAATGTAATTAAGGGCTTATTTCTTTAGTATTTATTATAATTTTGCTAAAATTTCGGTTTGAAAGAAGATATCAAGATGCAGTTATCGTTGACTTTTTAAGCTTTTACTACTCTTTACTATCAGCTAAAATTACATATACTATCGTATTTAATTTTTTTGAGAAAACGCGCTTTGTTTTTTAAATTGTAAGAAAGCGCCCCCTAGTGTCTACGTTCAAAACCTTATTATTATTATTTTTATGGTATAATATAGAGTAAGAAACGCTGTTTTAAACGAGCCCTCGTTTGTTGCATTCTGATCATCCAGAGTCCGTAGTTATTAACATTTAAATAAAGATAGATCTAACCTTCCCCCACCACTTTATTTTAGCAGACAGGGGAAAATGGTCCTAACAAAAAAAATCCAAAATTTACTGAAGATTATGAAGCTATTATTTATAGTATCCATTATCTAGGCAAAATTCTGTAAAAATTCTATTTTCTTATTTTCCATAGCAGTTGCGCTCCCTAGCGACCGTTTTACAAACTTCCAGCAATTTCCCATAGCCTCTTTAGTTATAAATATTTTTTTCCGTAGGCCCTACGGCTAATACTTTCCGAGATACAGCCGAGAGCTACTCTTAGTGGGAAACCCGGTACATATTTTGAATAAAGTACCTACCTTTTCAGTTTCTTCAGTTTTCAAGAATAATAAGATCTGAAAGCACCAAGAAACAGTTAAACAGTGTTATGCTTGCTTGCGTTTATGATATTGTTTTTTTGTATATTTCAGACTTTTCCAACAACAAGAGATGAACAATCGGCGGCCCAAGCGTTTGATAGTAAAGGAAACTTGTATTTTTCCTTATTGAGTTCCATAGAAATTGTATCGTGGAATTTCAAGAATCCTTATGAGAAAAAATATTGGAAAGTTGTCGGAAATGATAAAATCACTATGCAATTTCCTAGTGGTTTAAAGGTATGGTAAATATTTATGAGGGTAGCTATTTTTGGTAACAGAAATGATCCTAGAGAATTCATAACATTTTTTTATACAGGGTTGTTCACCACATACGACACGGAGTATTGTAACTAAACGATTAGATTTTTACAAATTGTAAGTTTTGGGTTGGTTGAAGGACTATTAGAGCTACAATTTAAAAATATTTTTACAACATACAGAGTGTCTCAAATCAATAAAAAATATCAAAGTTGTATTTTCTTAAATGGAACACCCTGTATATTATTACATTTTTAGTTTCTACGATTAAAATAAAAGTAAATTTGATAAAGGCTTATCACCCTTAAACTTTGCCGTTTTTGAAATATTGTCAATTTTTTGAAATTGCAGTAATAATTTCAGAGCTTCATTTCTCTAAGGTAGTGATGGGCAAAACTGTTATTTTTAGATAACAGTTGAAACTGTTATAGTTATTTATAAAAAACAGCTTAAAATAACAGCTTAAAAATAACAGGTTTCTTTATTTTACTACTAAATATCTGAAAGAGTATGAGACGGTCATCGCCAGGCGTATTAACGCAGTTGCAAGTTGCAACAATGACGTGCTCGGTGGTAGTATTTCCAGGGTGTCAAAACATTTCTAAATATCGATTGTTATCTAAAATACCTCTCTAAAAACGGTGGTTATTTACAAATAAGCGCTGTTTACAAATTACGATATAAAAAAGCCAAAATTCGGCCACTCGTCTATAGTATATACCTACGCCCTGCCCCTCGATCCGCGTAGATCTGAATTGCGTAGCAGTAGTGTACAGGGTGCATCTCACTCGACGGGCGAGAAGCTCTTAGTTATGATTTTACCATTTGCGGTCAAAAATAGCAATATAAGAAAAATGTGTAGTATATTCTTCATAAGTAAACCAACTACACACTAGAGTTCAATTAATTTTACACTTAAACTAGCGTGTACCCGCGACTTCGTTCGCGTCAATTAATAATTTCTAATGGTGATGATAAAAGCAAAACAAAATTTCCATTAACATACAAACTGGATAAAATTTTCTCACATTTGCCAAAAAATAAGCTTTCTAACGTCGAGCAGTTTAAGCAGAATCGTGGTTAATCAATTACTCAACTTTTTGGAACACCCTGTATGATTTTTTAAAAATTTCAAATATGTAAAAAAACAAAATAAATTATGCGTGTCCAGGCGTTTTCGTTTTTAAATAACAAATATTGTAATATTTGAGGGCGTTTTCACCCTGTTGGAATTTGAGATTCGAGAAACCCTCCTTATCGAACCTCAACCCCACAGTCAATCCGTTTGCAAAAATCAGCTTTAAACGTCCAGCAGTTTAAGCAGAATAGTGATTACTCAATGGTCATATTTTATGAAACACCCTGTATATATTTTTAAAAATCTTAAAATATGTTAAACAACATATTAAAATATACGTGTTTTAAGAGTTTTCCGAAAAACTCACCGGTTTTTAAATAAAAAATATTCTAATATTTCAGAGTAGTTTCACCCCCTTAGAATTCGAGTTTCGAAAATCCCTTCTTATCGAACCTCTACACACTAAAGTCAATCCGTTTTCCAAAAATCAGCTTTTTACATCAAGGGCTTTAAGCAGAATCGTGATTAATCAATGACCAGATTTTCAAAACACCCTGTATACATTTTTAAAAATCTTAAAATATTATTCTGAAAATTTTTTCAGAATAAATATATACCTAAATATTGAAACTTAATAAGTAAGTACTGAAACATAGAGCGCCATAATATCTCGACCTCCGTCCGTTATGCTCGTAACAGGTTGAAACAGGATGTATCTAAAACAACTGATGCGTTATTCCCCAACCTGTTTCGAACCTCCATCGACAATCGACCGATGCAGCAGCGTTCCTTTCCTACACCTATTATCTCGTCCGCCGCCCTGTTATGCTTGTAACAGGTTGAAAAACAACATATCTAAAATGACTGCTTCTCCAACCCGTTGCGAGCCTCCATCGACAATCGACCGATGCAGCAGCGTTCCTTTCCCACTCCTGTTATCTCCACCGCCAGGCGTTATGCCCGCAACTGTTTCAAAAACCTGCTTCTTTTTATATCCTATTATTTTTAAGCTGTTGTAAATACGACCATTGACGGTATCGACCGAAGCAGCTACGTTCGCCGTAGCGCTTCCCCACCGTTGTCTCGCCGCCTGTATCGATGGTTGACGAAATAATATGTTTTCCATCCATATTAGTTGTTTTTTGGAATTGCTTCGAGCAGCATAGAATTTCGTGGTGATGCAGAGCGCCGACTTCGTTTTTCCTTTCAGGAGCGGCCGATCTCTACGTGTCGTTATTTTATATCTGTTATTTTTTAAAAGTAGTAACGGTTGCGTTATGTTATTTATAAATAATTGTTATAAAATAACAGATAGTTAAATAACAACCCATCACTACTCTAAGGGTATCAAAGTTTTTAATGCTAAATATTTACTGAAGTTTAATTATTGATTAGTTATTGTGTTGCAATAATAAAAATAATACTACTTCATACAGAGTGTCTAAAAATTTATTTTAAATAATTTCTAGCTTTAAACGGCAATAACTTGTTTAATTTAAATAAAACACCCTATATATTTTAGGAGAATCAGATGCACAATTTTATTGTCCATCAAATTGTATTATACAATTTTTTACCTATCTCTTCAAGTTTTCGTAGAAAATGCGTTTTCTAATAATTTAGACCTCATTTATCAATATACCCATGGAATATTGACATTTTAGATTGTTTTTAAAACAACAAATGTACAAAATGTACAGGTGCTAAAAATTATAATATTACCAGCCTATTTGTATACAAAAATAAAACTATTTAAATCTTCATAAAAGACTATACCATTAATTAAATATACCACCAGTATTTCCGCCCAAATATTAATTAATTACATATTTAATTATGTTAGTTAATAAATTATTCTAAATAAATGGGGATTTGGAATCAGAAATCAATATAATAATAAGTTATGAAAATGAACATCTCTGTTGTTATAAATAAGCATTCGTCAAAAAATGAAATAAAATTTTTAAGGTGTTATTTTTTACCACACTGTCTAATATACATACAAAATACAGTTTTTAGTATTTGGAACAATTATTATTAATCAATGCAAGCAGTCCATTAATGTAGTTTGAATACTGGAATCATATTCATTGGTCCTTTCTACAAATATTTAAACATTTTTTTTTATTTTTTAATGACATAAACGAACTATATTGACAATATTGGTATCTGTATCCTTTAGAAATTTGATACATCTTTAAAAATAATCTAAAATGTCAATATTCCATGGGTATATTGATAATTGAGGTCTAAATTATAAGAAAATGCATTTTCTACGAAAACCTGAAGACATAGGTAAAAAATCATATAATATAATTTGATAGACAATTAAATTGTGCATCTGATTCTCATAAAATATACAGGGTGTTCTATTTAAATTAAAGAAGTTATTGCCGTTTAAAACTAGTTATTATTTAAAATAAATTTTTAGACACTCTGTATAAGATAGTATAATTTTTATTATTGCAACACAAAATTTTGTGAATAGAAATACTTCAGTACAATATTTGGTTTTAAAAACTTAAATACGACCAGAGAAATAAAGCATTATAATTATTACTGTATTTTGACAAAACCTAAATATTTCAAAAACGGTAACATTAAAATGCGGTAAACCTTAATCAAATTTACCTTTATTTTAATCGTAGAAACTAAAAATGTAATAATATACAGGGTGTTCCATTTAAAAAAAATACAACTTTGATATTTTTATTTATTTGGGACACTCTGTATCTTGTAAAAATATTTTTAAATTGTAGCTCTAATAATCCTTCAACGAACCCAAAACTTACAATTTGCAAAAATTAAATAGTTTAGCTACAATACTCCGCGTCGTATGTGGTGAACAACCCTGTATAAAAAATATTGGATTTTTTTTTACTAAAACTAATATTTATAATTAAACTATAACTTCATTCAGAACCTCGCAATTAGTGGAATAAATTAGTGGTTTCAATTAGCGTAGGGGTTTGTTCCTGTAATTTGAATGTAAGCATTCAGAGCGTTAAAATTAGTGGTAGGAATTTTTATTTAATGATAAAAGTTAACAAACTTTTAACTTTTCCACTAATTATACTTCAAAATTTGCTACGAATGTCATTTTAGACTTTTATTATTATCGTTCAAGGTAAAATTTGATTAGACATCAAAAGTTTATTGTGTTATAAGCTAAATATTAGGCTTTTTCTATGGATACAAATGACTACTGGAAGCTGTTGCTAGGATATTCTATTAATTTTAATTGTTTTTTAGACATTGTGAATGATCGTAAACTAAAAAGTATAAAGTGTAATTGAAACCAATAATTTATTTCACTAATTACGAGGTTCTGAATGAAGCTTATCTCTTTATGAATATTAGAATATATTAAAAAAGTCACATAATAATAATTTCTGTGTTTGGGCAAATGTTTCATATAATATAATTAAAAAAATAATTTTCAGAAACAATAATTATTTGTTTATTAACGACACTACAAAATAGATTAATATTAATTGCTTTAACAATATCTACGTCATATTTATATACTTTGACGCCAATATTACCCGTAAAAGATAAATTAATAACCTGGTAATAACCCTAATATAATTAGTATGTAAAGAAAAATACTCAAAATATACAGTCACCGACGCGACACGAAAAACGCCTTAAAAGAGGACAGTACGATCAAAAAAAGGACTGTCCTCTGGAATAGAGGACAGTTGGCAACCCTAATTTATACATATTTTGTTTTAGTTTATTTCGAACTAAATTCCAAGTTCTAAAGTTTCTATCCCTTTATTATAAGAGGGAAAACAAAATGTTAGTATTTTAATAATAGTTTAAAATACTCTGTGGAATGGTTTACCAAAGTCAGGAATTTAAAAAACACTTTATCCTCAAGGTGCATCTTTTGTCGATAGTTTTTTATTCTTTTCAATAATTTTTTTTTGGGTTGGAGATATTCGATTTTGACCAAACCAGATATTTCTGCCCAGATCACCATATCAATGAAATAGTGTTAATTGTTTTTGTAATGTCACTGTATTTGAAAACATAGTGTTGGTTAGAAGTTACTCTAATAGAGATGGTTTTAAGTCCAGAAGTTGATCTCTAGATACTATCACAGTTTATATAGATTATAGACTTTGTTTTTTCTTTATTGTTTTTCGTGGTTCCAATTTTCGGAATCGGGCACTAGTTAGGTTACTAGTTTGCGCACATAGCACGCCCACTTATGGCCTCTAAAATTGTGCACAGCGCCTGACCAGTACAGTTATTAGAGAGATATTGGAAAACCGAATAGCGTCATGCAGTATTTACGCGTACCTTATCATGGTTACAATATGCGCGAGTCAATTTTTACACCAAGCGCTATTTCTAAATAACGTTTAAAAATTGCTTAAATGGGCATGTGCGGGTATTCGACAACCGAGGAAGGCCGGCGCGGCGAGATCTTTTATTTTAGGTTATGTTTGAATTGTTTTGAATTATTAGTTTAGTTTTATTATGTAATTTGATATTTAGCTGGGATTAGTTTTAATTAAATAAATATGGCCCAAAATATGGATTCCACCTCTTCCAATATTAAAGAACCTATAAAGAGGCTTAGGTTTACAGCAGATGACGATAGCCCTTCTAAGAGAATTTGTTGCTTGTTGCCCTAAACCCACTGGCAGACGTTGAACAATAAAGCACTGGAAATAAGCACTTTAGCCCTTTAGTTTTAAAATACCTAGTAAACAAAACAATTTCAAAGTTAGGTTAAGTTTAAATAGCGGAAGCGACGCGAACAGAATTCTTTTCGATCCGATAACTATAAATGAAGAGAGTTAATACCACCTCACGTAACGGAAATAACACCTGGCCTTATTAACGTCCATGCTATTTGGTTTAGCGATATCTCTCTATTGCGCTGTTTATTGTTATTTTACGCGAGTTTATTTTTGCGCACAGGAAATTTTACTCGTTTGCACATCGTCATAAAAAAGAATTTTCGTACCACGAATTAGGGATAAAATTTTTATCTGTATACATATAGTATACATATAATCTGTGATACTATGTTCAATTAAAGCAACAATAGTCTATAAAACTTCTGGACTTGCTACTAGAGTATTTGCCAAAAAGCAATAATAATGTAATTTTTCAATAACAGTGACATTCCAAAAACAATGAGAATACTATTTTAGAGGTATACTGCTATTACTATTTATTAGAATAAAAAAAAGGCACGCTTTTAATTTTAATGCGAAAATTGTTTTTAATCCTTATTGTCTTCTTCATAAGCGAATATCTCTACAGAAAAAAAAAACTATTGAGATGAATCAAAAAACGAACTATCGAGAAAAGATGCTCCTTGAGGATACAATTTTTATATTCCTATTGTCATTGTATTAAATATTTATTCCTTATTTGTCTTACCTTTTAATATTCCTTATTTGTAAACCATTTCACATGGTGTTTCAAAAGTTCACCCAAAATAACAACCTTTACAATAGAGTTAAACTTTAATTTTTGATTTAAACAGAGGTTATAAAGTCGAATAATTTAGGTACAAATTAGTTCAAAAAAGTCATCAAAATCGGGCTACTAAAACGAAATATATTTAACTTTAAAATACATAAAAACTTTCCATTTTTATGCTGTTTAGTGTATTTTGATAATGATTATTCTATTTATTAAATATTTGACCAGAAGCAATATTTTTGACATTCAAATTATGTAGTACATATTAATATTAATATAACATTTTAAAAATGATGACTTTGTAAATTATTACTAAATCTACCAACTTATGCAGTGCTGTTAATGAAACTATAAACATAGCGTTCATAATAATAATGCTATTTTGCCATGTTCACTAGAATGGACAAGTCCTTGTATTTGGGTCTGTACTATTATTGGAATGTCTACACAAAATACCTTTCCAAATTTCAAAAAAAAATAGACTCATTTAATTTTGTGAAATATCTTTAACGACAATTGTTTGCTAATTTAAGAATACGTGTATTGTTTATTAATTTAAGAAAATATGTTTATTGTAAATTAAAATAAGATATACCGGGTGCGTCTCAAAAGTGGCTCACCCCCTATAACTTTTTTATTTTTTCAGATAAAAAACGAGATTTCGTATGTTAGTATCTATATGATATAAATTAGGATTGAGTGACGGTATTCAATTGTTTTTGGTCACTTCCTGTTTCACCGGAAATTACTACAACTTTTGATTTTTAAATGACACTCTCGGTATTCATTTACTTTATTCGATAGAAAATGACAGTCTGAATAGAATGACTGAAATGAATGATATCATATGTCAACTTTTGACATTTTTGCTTAATTAACAATCGTATTTTAAATTTCAATCTAGAGTGCCGTGGCTATGTTAAAAACACTAATTCTTAATCAAGGAGCCTTGGAAAAATAGATTTAATCGTCTAATGTTTTTAGTGTCTTGTCCTGGCCAGTTAGAAAATGTTCCAATCGTATTTTAAATCATATCTCAATTTTTTCAAATGGAACGAGGGTGACTCATTAGCATATTTGGAGAGCATTTTTTTACGAATAATTTAATACCACACACTTGGTATTTCGAGTTTTTCGTTACGAACCGCAAGTTATAATTTCAAATAAACCATATGCGAAAATGTCAAATGTTGACACATGATATGTCATTATATTCAGAGTGTTATTTTTTTATCGAATAAAGTAAAAAAATACCAAAAGTGTCATTTAAAAATCAAAAGTTTTAGTCATTTCCGGTAAAACAGGAAGTGACAGAAAACAATTGAATACGTCAATTAATCCTAATTTATGTCATATATTAACATACCAAATCTCGTTTTTTTTATCTGAAAAAATAAAAACATTATAGGGGTGAGCCACTTTTGAGACGCACCCGTTATAGTTATTCAAGTATTATACGAGATGTGCTTGTTTCTTGGGGCTAAATATTTTTTTTTATTAAACATTCGTCAATTGGAAAAAAAATATCGTTTTCTTTGTATTACAGGTATCCCGAGGCAAAAATAACCAAGAACAACTCTGGGTGTTTGCGACTGCTCTCCAGAGATGGGCATCAGACAATCTTAATCCTAATGTAACGAATTTTAGACTGTTATATGCAAATTTATAGTTGCTATAATTGAAATGTGTCATTATAATGTTATATATTACGTTATTATATTATTAATTATAATTATATTATATTATTAATGTTATATATTCCTATACGCATATTTATAAAATATTTAATTTAATTCGCATTTCTAACATTTAAATTTATAAAAGTGGTTAATAAAATGACATAAAATAACTACGTAATTATTTTTTTTTACTGATAATTATGAGTGACTAGGCAGATACTGACTTATGTCATAAAAATCTAGAAGGAAAGGGTTTATACAACTATGTGAGAGGAAAATAAAAATATATATTTCTAATGTAACAGGAAGGTCATTCATTAACAAACCAAATCAATGAAAAGAAGTAAAAGTTAAAAGAATTTTAAACACAATTTGCGGCCTGTTTAAGTCACGTTCTTCTGTTTTTTTTTCACTGTTGATAATGCATAAGTAACTACCTCATATCCAGTTTTAAACTATAGAAAATTAAACGAAAAACTAACCTATCTAACACTATTTGTATTAGCAATTAACACAATATGTAATTATGTAAACCCAAATACATAATCGAGTTATAACAAAATCGATATGTTTAAAATCAATTATTACATAAGCAATGCCTACGTACAATTTTACCACCTACAATTAGATCAATTACATAGTGGTAAGAAAACTGCAGTGTCTAAGAACAGTATTATATACTGGTATAAACCCATTTTTTTTAATTTTCACTTTATAATATAATTAATAACAATTATCTCGTATACAGAGTGACAGATTGATCTGATAAAGCTGATCAGATTTCGATTTGAGTCATATTGATTTCTATATTGAGATTTCAGTAGCAGAGCACATTTAAACATATCTTCATAGTATATTATAGGTTGTAGGTAGGTTGTAGAATGTTTAGGGGGGAGATTAATCACCGCGGCCTTACAGATCTATGTGTGTCCCCTTTTCTTGGAGTGGAGCATAGTTCCTCCGGTTCTAGCCTAGCTTTCCCAAATAAAAAGTGTCGCTTGCGATCCAGAGCCTCGCAGTGATATATTATGTGCTCTGCTGTTTCAGGATCTTTATTGCAGAGTCTGCAGCAAAGACTTCCTTGTTACAGATTAAGTTTGTTCAGATAACACTTGGCAGCCATGTGTCCTGTCAAGAGGCCTGTTATAATCCGCACTTTATTCCTGCTAAGCGGTTCTTTTGCGGTTCTAGGTACTTGGATAAAAGCCTTGCTGTCCCTGTGCCACTGTCTGTTTCTCCAGTGGACATTCTGCTTTTCCCTGATCCAGAGTTTTAGTGTACTACGGGCCATATATTTGGGTATTCCCAGTTCATGCTCTGGACCAAAATAGAATGCCGATGATCCTTGCCTAGCTAGCTCATCAGCTTTTTCGTTGCCTTGGGTGCCGCTGTGGCCCGGCACCCAGAATAATTTAATTCTGTTCACCTAGGCATTCCCAGACGAGTCTCGGCGATACCTTGGGGCTCATAAGCGACCCAATTGCCGCCTGACTGTCTGAGCATATATTAATAAGCTTACCTGAATAAAGAAGGGTCAGGAAATAGCTCCACTCCATCTATTAAACATTACAAGGAGCAGCTTAGCGATATACCAACCATCTGGAGAAGAGCGAAAGTCATCTTCATACCCAAAACAGGCAAAACTGACTGGGCTATCCCCAAATCATTTAGGCCTATTAGTCTCTCATCGTTCATATTAAAAACGATGGAGAAAGTAGTGGACAACCATATTAGAGTAAATCATCTACAAGTTAAACTACTGCACGATAGTCAGCGTGCATATAGAGCGGGCAGATCCACAGAAACTGCCCTGTACCAGTTAACTGAGCTAATACAGGCAAGCCTGGATAGCAAAGAAACAGCACTTTGTGCCTTCTTGGACATTGCAGGGGCGTTTGACAATATATCTCACAAGGTGGTTAAGCGATCTCTTGAAACAAGAGGGGTGAACAGTACGATAATTCGCTGGTTTGGGGAACAGCTCTCAACACGAACAGCAGAGGCTGAGATAGGTACCAAAACTGTAGTTGTTAAAACAACGCACCTCCCCCTTACTGTGGATCTTGGTAATGGATGAACTACTGGAAGAATTAACTCTAGCGGGAATACACTGCACAGGGTATGCAGATGACATAGTCATCATTGTACGGGGGAAACATGAAGGCACCCTGTGTGATATTATCCAAAGAGGACTCCGCATCGCTGAGAGATGGTGCAGGACTGTCGGGCTGAGTATTAACTCAGATAAAACCGCAGTAGTGCCATTCACACCATGATAGTAAGACCCATGATTACTTATGGAGCAGTTGCTTGGTATACAAAACTAGAGCAACGTACAGCAAGGCAAAACCTGTGCAAAGTACAGAGACTGGCATGTATCTGCATCACAGGTGCCATGAGAACATGTCCAACAGCAGCAATGGAGGTCATTTTAGACCTAACACCACTGCACATTGTCGTCGGTAGTTATGCCAATGCGACAATGATTAGAATGGTCATTGACGGAAACAGTACTGGGAGAATTTTCAGGTCAGGGAATTGGAACACCCTCAAAAAGAAAATTCCACTTCTCCAACTCCCAGTGGATGACTTACCAAGAATTTACAACTTTGAGAAACACCTCACTGTAGTATTGAGTAATAAAAAGGATTGTAAGAAAGAAAGGCTTATTCAGCATATAAAAGACCATACCATCACGTGGTATACTGATGCTTCCAAAACCAAAGCAGGGACAGGGATAAGAGTATTTGGGCCGAAAACTAAATACTCCGAACCAATGGGCACCTACCCCAGTATCCTTCAGGCAGAAATTTGCGCTGTCGAAAGATGCGTACAATTTATCTTAAATAGGAACTATCGAAAACAGGAAATTGCCATCCTATCCGATAGTCAAGCAGCACTTAACGCGATTAACTCAGTAACCATCAATTCGAAGTTGGTCAAAGAATGCATAGAGAAGCTCAACAAATTAGGCAAAGAAAATAAAGTCCTCCTACTCTGGGTGCCTGCTCACCAAGGGATAGAAAGCAATGAAAAAGCAAATGATCTAGCTAGAAAAAGAACGAACACTCCACTAACTGGACCAGAACCGTTTTATTTTCCAAACGGGAACCAACTGAAAGCGGAACTGAAGAATCTGGAAGACTCCATCCGTAACTTGGAATGGATGTCCTCCAACGGTCTAAGACACTCGAAAAAGTTCCTCAGAACTTATGACCGAGAAAAATCAAAGGTTTTCCTTGATTTAAGTAAAAACAATCTTCGGATTGTCACGGGGTTTCTAACAGGACACTGTCTCCTCAACGAACACCTCAGTAGGCTGAAACTGAGAAACAACGGCGAATGCAGATTTTGTGGGGAAATGGGGAAACACCAGAACACCTTATCACTGAGTGCGCCGAGACGACGACCATTCGTGCCATGAACCTTGGTACGTCTGATGTCGAGGATGGAGAGCTGGCCTCTGTGGAGCCGTCTCAGATACTGGCTTTTGTTAAAGCCCTGAGACTGTATGATGAGTTATAACTCGTTATAACTCAAGAAAGGGAAACACACAATAGATCTATAAGGTCGCGGTGATTAACTCCCCTCCTAAACATTCTACATTCTACCTGAATAAGCTCTTCTGTTGTTTTGTCTTGCTCATTGTAGAATGGCGAATATTTCTGACTGGAATACGGTTGAGTATTTACCCAAGGAAAATGATAAACTTACTTTTGGTCTTTCCTCAAATACTCCAGCTCCTGTTCCTTCAGCGGTCTTTGTCCCGTCTGTATATCAGGTTAATCCGTCCTGAAGGAATGTTATATCTGTCCACATTCCATTCTGTTCACCTCGAATGGTTTGTGGTAGTGATAAAGAGGGGTCATTTGGTCCGATCTCATTTGGAGTAGAGGTCCCCCGATCAAATCCCCCATCTTTAATGGTTTCCACTTGGGAAAAAGAATGGTTCTGGTTCAGTTAGTGGAGAGTTCAAACAAAAGTCCCCGTGTCTCAAAAAAAGTGTGAGATTGACAAAATTAATTTAATTTAAAAATAGATGCAGTTTTTAAATTACTTAATATCGACTTGTTCAAAATTGTTCAAATTTGGCATTTGTACTCAGGCAGACTTTCTTAATACCTACTTCCAAGTTAGCTCTAAAATTAATAGGGGAGCCAATATTTCGACACTTCAAAATTTGCATGGGACTTCCTATGTTTCCAAGGACGCGCGACAATGAAATTTGACTGAAAGCGCAACTTTGACACATTTTCTAGTTTTTTAATTTTAAAAACTACTATAGTAAAAAATGTTTCCAATTAATGAACTAAAGAATTTGCTATAACTTTAAAAATGCAGAAAGTGGTAAATGGTGAATTGGAAACATTCCATTCGAAAAATTACACCTGTCGTGTACAAATGTATTTTAGTCACCTTGTATATCAATGAAAATATTGTAGAAATTAGCGCTGTTGTTTATATATTTTGTAAAAAAATTGGAGTGAAAATTTTAAATAGGAAACCTGCTTTTTGAAAAAGCTTTTTCACACTGTGTCACAAATTACCTATAACAGATGCGAAAGAACACCGAATTACGCGTTCAGGTTTCTGTGACCTTCAGAAAGAGTTCATAGACAATCCGCATCAATTTATAGTTTGGGCTATTATTTGTTTGGATGAAAATAATCTGCACCAATATGTTATCGAGGCATATAATCTCACAGTAATTTAATAGATTGCTCGTCATATTATATCAGTTCGTAAGAGATTAGGAAAAAAAAGATATTTATAGTATAAAAAATTAATTTATTTAACAAAATTTAATTAAAGATGTGACAAAATAGTTACTTTTCTATTGGTTCTATCGGACTTTTTTCGACTATATAAATCTTTATTTTTTGTAAACTTTAATGCATAAAATATTTTCAATCTAATAAATAATTTAATGATGTAAATAAGAGGAAATTTTTCACATGGGTGGTCAAATTCTATAGTTTTTATTATATCAAACAGCCTCTGAATGTTTTCTTCAGTGCAAAACTCATCAAAATTTAATATAAATAATTTT